ATAGTGCTGTCCACCTCCCACTATTTCCTTATTTACTGTTCAATCTAGCTAATTTTATTTATTTTTCGCTTCGGTGGTGGTTCATCTTCTTCAATGCAAACTACTTTCAGACAGCCGATGGAAATTGGAAATTTAATCGATTAAGATCGGTTCGTCATTACATTGTGCAACGACGTAATCATGTCATTTTGAATACGGTACATGTGTACTGGCTATTTTTGGCACCTTCCGCCAAGTGTTTTTCCAGCACAGGATCGTAGTTAGCCACCAACTGGATGACACACTTTCCGCTCCTTCCGAATGTCCACGAAGTGGTCGGCCACCTTTACAAAGTATGCACACAAAGTCGACGAAATGTTCCATTATAGAGGGATTCTGTAGCCGCTTTGCCTCTCTAGCAGCAATCATAGCTGTTTTTTGGTGGTCCAGTTCTTTATCGATACCCTTCCTGGTTTTGAAATTTTTCCACGCTTCCATACATGGGTATCACTGCCACTGTGTTTGTCCAGCAACTCGGTCGCTTTCTTCCAATTTCTGAACCCTGTACACACTTAATTTTTTTCGCCGAAATTCCAACAGCCGAGCAGTTTTGCAATTTATTTTGCTGAGATTCAGTAAAACAATTGCCGAGACTCAGTTAACAAATAACATTAAAGCGGCGCCGGTGGTGTAGTGGAAGGCGTGATTACCTCTCACCCCAGCAGGCCTGGGTTCAATCCCAGTCGGCGCCGCCGGGATGTTCTGAGGCATAACATCTCTGATCACGCCTTCCTTCGGAAGGGAAATAAACCCGTTGGTCCCCGGTTCATGAGTTGTTGGGTCGATAGGGTAGGGTCCAGATGTGGGAGCTGCTTTCCTGGCGTCGGTAGCATTGGTGCTCAGCACGGAAAACAAGATCGACGGAAAACAAATCAAAGGAAAAAAAATAACATTTTGCTGTGATGTCAGCTAACAAACAGATATTTTGCAGAGATATCAACAAAAGTATATGCCGAGGTAATCGGCTGTTGGAGATTTTACCGGGCTAGATTAAGTGTGTAGGAATCGGACAACTTGGATCGCCCGAAAAGATCGGCAGCATAATGTTTTTGTGTATAATTGGCTTTGAAAATCCAGAATAGCATTGAAAATAGTTTTTAAAGTTTCGAAGATTTCTTGGAAGTTAAAGTTACAGTTCGACTAATATTTTGATAGAAAAATGTTGTAATAATGTTTTGCGTCATGCTCTTCTTTACAGGTTAAAAATATAAACCAAAGAAAATATATTCTTCAAGGTACTGGTATCATATTTTATTCAGTTACCTTTCTGAAATTTTGTGCATTACGTTGTTGTATAGTTTGAAGGCATCGTTACAGTTTATTTTTGACTATGTCAAGGTTTTTTAAAGCCCTTATATGCTGTTGTAGTTACACTTTACTATAACCGTTGCGAGTACGTTAAACTTGGCCATTTTCAGCGAAAATTGGAGTTTTAATTTTTTTTCAAATTATGATTTAAATACCAAGGCTAATAGGATCATTAAAAAGGTTTAAAGCATATGTAACGATTGGAACAAAAGCGCACAAAACTATTTTGACAAGCGAGTACAGGATTGTTAACGGAATGACGACATGTGCGAAGGTTTGAGCATGTCAACCCTGTACCGCCAGTTGGGGTGACAGAAAACGATACCGAACATTCAACATGTTTTAGAGATAATATAAAGGATAAACCTGAATTTATTGCAACGCACATAAACAACTGTAAACTTTTAACCTGTGTAACAAATGGCTTGAAATTTTCAGAGAAGATTTTTACACGAACAATCGACCAGGGTTTAATGGCAAACTAATGCCCTTTTTTCAAATAGGGAATCCAAAAGCTGTCTTTAAACTTTGTACAGTTGCAAAAAAGTCCATCCTCAGAATTCCTTAAGGTTCTTTTCGAAGTTTTTAGAACTCTATGAACTCTTTTAAAATTCTTCTCAGAAGTCCTCTGGAATTATTTTTAGAACTCTTCTTGACTTTTACTCAGCACACCTTGGAACTGAAAATCCCTTAGAGTTTCAGAAGAATTTCCTCAGTATTATCCAGAAATTATTCCCGGAATGAGCTAGAAATTATTGGTACTCCTTTGTCATTTTATTCAAAATCCCTTTGGAATTTCACTCAAAATTTAATTTTCTCGGTATTCTTCCCGGAATTATATTGGAACTATCTACAGGATTCACTAGAAATTACCCGCTAAATTTTCTTGGAATACTTCCCAGAAATCCTTTGGAACTCCTCCATGCAGCAGATTGTTGCAAATCTTACACCAGAAATTTTCAATACAAACTTGCCCCCATAAACATTCAACTGACCAGAACGATGCAAATTTTCCACCGTTAATGTTCAATAAAAATTGCTTCTCCAATCTCTGATTAGGGCAGAGTTCCTTTTTCCATTTTCCACCAGACATTTTCAATATAGCTTGCTTCTCATATCATCAGAATGTTGCAGTTTTTCCACCAAATAAAGCTTGCCCCTATTTTCATATTTTGAGAATGTTCAGTAAATCAGCTTCCCTCCAATCATCAGAATGGTGCAAATTTTACACCAGAAAATATTATTAAAGTTTGTATCTCTATTCAGCAGAAGGATGCAAATTTAAGACCAAATTTTTTTTCCGAAAAACTTGCCCATCCGTTCACCAGAACGGTGCAGATTTTCCACCAGAAATTTTTAATAAAACTTGTGCCTTCATTTACCAGTGCAAGTTTTCCACCGGAAGATATATTTCATTTCATTTATCACGGCAATGCAAATTTTGCACCAGGAATTTTCAATAAAACATGCTCCTCCATTCACCAGAACGGTGCACCAAAAATTGTCAGTGAAGTTTGTTTCACTATGCACCTTTGTGGTGCAATTTTCAGGCTTTGCCTCTTCATGCACTCAATTTTCCACCATAAATTTTCAATGAAGCTTGCATTTATCAGAACGATGCAAATTATGCACCAGTAAAATGAATAAACCTTGCTTCTACATTCACCACAGTGCTACGAACTTTCCACCAGAAATTTTCAGTTAAATTTGCACCTCCAAATTTATAGCCAGAGTTATTCATTTTAATGACATGCACCACCTTGATGATATATTTACACCAGAAATATTCAATAAAAAGTTTTTTTTTTCGATTTACCACCACGAAGGTGAATTTTATCAATCTTAAATTTATCCTCTTCTTTTAGTCCACCTTGAAAAAAAATTAACCATAAATGTTTTGTATACACCACTGTCAATTTTTTGACCAAAAAATTTCATTGAAGTTTGTCCTTTCATGCACCTTTGTGCAGCAATTTTCAGGCACCATCTCAAAGGAATTGACGCAGTTAAAGGTTTTCAGTGCCCCTATATTATTTTATATCATAATTTTGTAAATGTGGAAATAAAAATCTTATTTGTATAAGGAGGGGCAATTGCCCCACCTTGCCCCGCCCTGTGCACGCCAGTGGTTTTGACAGCAGTTTGTTTTGAAATGTTTCGTTTTTCAGTGCTGAAAAGTTCGTCACGATTGATTTTTTTTTTAAAAAACTTGACGTGGTCAAGTTAAAAAATCGCGAAGTCTTTGAAATTGGCTAAATCGACCGTGTGCAGTGTTCTCAAACGTTTCCGTGAGCGGCATACTATCGATCGGTAGGATCATAGCAAGCGTCGTAGTGGAACTAACGATCGGAAGACGTATTTGAAAGTGTTGAGAACGGTTAGGGCGAACCCAGCGCTGTCGGATTATGATATCGCCAAGAAATTCAATGCCTTCCAAAGCACCGTGAGAAGGATTGGTCAGCGAGAAGGATTTCGATTTTTTTGGGGCCAGTAAGCAACCAAACAAGACACTGAAGTGGAATCTAGTGGCCAAAAGACGAGCCCGGATGTTGGACAATGAGATTCTTACAAAGTATGATGGATGAATCCTCATGGTCGACGAAACGTATGTGAAGATTGGTTATGGGCAGCTTCCCGGACAAAAGTTGTATAAAGCCCCTGGTCGAGGTGATGTCCCTAGCAAGTTCAAATTCGTTTTTGCCGATAAATTTACAATAAAGCTTATGATCTGGCATGTATTTGCAGCTGCGGGCAAAAAACCCACTCATAAAATAAATCACATAACCAGTGCACAATATGCATGTGAATTTCACACAACTTTCACGTGATCTCATAATTGGAAATTGTACTACTACATCACATGAACACCTTATGTGTCAAATGAAATCTATATGATTATTCACATAGAATTTATTGTGTTATGTGATTTTTTTTCCTTGATTTTTTATTTCCGTTGATCTTGTTTTCCGTGCTGAGCACCAATGCTACCGACGCCAGGGAGAAAGTTACCAGACCTGGACCCTACCTATCGACCCATCAACTCATGGACCAGGAACCAACGGCTTTACTAAGTCGTGATCAGAGATTTCATGTCTCAGATAATCCCGACGGCGCCGACTGGAATTGAACCCAGGACTTTTGGAGTGAGAGGCAATCACGTTTACCAATACACCACCGGCCTCGCTGTTAAGATAAAAAATAAAATTTTATTGGAAAAATATTACGTGCTTCCCTTATAGAAACGATGTTATTTTTTTACAGTGTAGCCCCGTAATTTAAGGACAAAGTTCACGGAATCCCTCCATTTCACCAGCGGGCAGAAGCAGCGGGTTCGATTCCCGGTCCGGTCTATAAACAATTGTGGACGTATTCAAAGATCTCTGAGTAGAGAGACGGCGTATTGTTCCAGTTGAGACGCAATAGATAAGAAAAAGGTAACAATGCCCCGCATAGCTACGAGCGGAACTTTTGCGTCCATTTGATGCAATTTAATTCAATACCATGCGATAGGCACGGTCCAGTCACGAATGTATGTATCTTCCAAATTGACAAGGAAAAGCGGGATCAAAAGATTTAATTTTAATTACACATCGACCAAATCTACCCCTAATCCGAGGGATGATAAGAAACCGACTCGCTGCTGCGGGCTCTTGAGTTACTTTCGTGCGGTTACTTAATCAAACACAGCTTGGTTGCATATCCGATTGGATGTTTCGCTAGAGTCTCCTGACCTGAAAACTCAAACTCGTATAATGAAGCAGTTGTTGGTGTTAACCGTATTGATCGCCCTCGCTGGATTAACCGCTGCCGCCAGCGTCGGTGGGTCTTCACGCAAGATCGATTGGAGCTTGGTTAGACCGATTAGCGAGTTTCCGCACGTTGCTCGACGAATTCAGAATTTGATGGGAGATGCGGTTGGCACGAAGACTAACAGCAATCAACGGATCGTCGGTGGACAGATCGCATCTCCTGGACAGATTCCCTATCAGGTATAAGAATAATCTTGGACAGCTAAAGTCTTGCTAATTAGCTATTTTCGTAGGCAGCAATCCTAGCTGATGTGGAAGATGGAACAGGGCTTTGTGGCGGAGTGCTGATCTCATCGAACTACGTATTGACCGCAGCAACTTGCGTTGCCGGTGCCAGCGAGGGAACCATTATCCTAGGAGCCCAGAACCTTCAGAACGAAAACGAAGACGGTCAGGTGCGAATGGATTTCACCGGTTCGGATGTTCACGTTCACGAAGAATACTTAGAGTTTATCTTCAGACACAATATTGCTGTGATTAGATTACCACAATCGGCACCGGAAACAGACCGAATTCGCGTGGCTATTTTACCAACTGCGGCCGATTCCCGAACATTCGCTGGAATGCAAGCGACTGTTAGTGGATTTGGACGAACATCGGATGCCAGTACCTCGTTTTCGGACGTGCTTCGTTACGTGTCCAATCCGATCCTGACAAATGCCGATTGCAACGCGGGCTGGTGGGGCGATCTCGTCGACGGGCAGAAAATGTGTCTGGCTTACATAAACGGTCGTGCACCGTGCATTGGCGACGCTGGTGGCCCACTTACCGTACAGGATGCTGGTCAAAGTTTATTGGTCGGCTTATTCTCGTTTGGATCTGTTCTGGGATGTGAATCCCAATGGCCTGCGGTGTTTGTGCGTACCACCTTCTACCTGAATTGGATCGCGTCGAATACTGATGTTGTTATCAGGTAAAACGCTGCTAACTAATGTATCCACAATTTTCTGCGTATATCGATGGAAACGGCAAAGTCTAAGTTTTGAATGGTGTGTATCGATAAGATAAATAAATGCGTTCTGATTTCGGGCGGTTGAATACCTACGGTGGTTTTGATAAGGGATCATGTCTTCTGTCAAATTAAACAACTTTTTTTTTTGAAGATGAAATGAGTTTCTTAATAATATTCAGGCAAATATTTGAAGGGATTTTAGTCATTCATTTAGATGATTGATGGTCATTTTTATCATGAAATCAGCTTCATAGTCGTTCTTGATGCTTATTTTGCCACTCGAAATACTTATTTTTGGGAGTCACCATTTTCTTATCTATACCTAAAAATAATACTGATATAATAAAGTAGACATTTAGGGGAAATCCTAGGAGATTGTTAGGAGTCTCCGTAGGTAAGGCGCAATAACAAAGCGAAATCGCGTAACTGAAAATCAGCGTAAAATTTAGAATTTGAACATACTGTTTTCACCCGAAGAATGCGTTACCCATTGAGTTCTACCCACCGCATTTTCTCGGCGAATTTTCAACCAATCGCTCTGATAGTGACTAGTTCTCCACTGACACTACTCACATACAAAAAATCCGACCGGCTGGTTGACAACCCACTGAGAAAAAGCGGTAGGTAGAACGCGTTCTTTGGGGGATACAGTTTAGATGTACTATGTTTAATTTGCTATTCAGGGAATTTAACCAGCAAATCAAGAGAATGTCCTAGGTAGGGTAAAGTTTCTTCAATAGTTTTTGACGTAGGATTACGTCATTCAGCAACATATTGGGGGTGCAATTTAAAAAAAAAAACCAAAATTGACCGCGTTACGAAAAGTGGTCAGGTTTTGACTACTTATGACTCTGTCAATATCGGATGGATTTTATTTCCAAACAAGCCAATCTATTGGAATTTTTTCTACAAGTCTATTCATTTTATTAATTTTCAATAGGTCACTATTGAAAATTACACAAATGTACAACTGTTGCAATGGTGATCAAAATTATCACCCATTGCCTGCAAAAAGCGCTTTCCCTAACACAGATTCCAAAATCGAGTTCCATCCGGTCTCCCCGAGCGGTGCTTATTCAATCACCGTGTGTGAGGGTGTCCGGTTGGTCGTCATCAGCAGCATCAGCAGCAGTGCTTTCGGTGTGTGGCGTTGAACATTGTTCTCCAGTACACAACGAAACGATGCTCGCAAGTAGCAAGCTGCAGCCCACATGAGCGTCCTGTCACCGAAGAAGGAGGAAGAAGTCGCACCGTTACTGATAGGATTAGGTAGCTCTTCATGAGTCGCTGTGGACCATATGTGCCAAGCGCGTCACCCTCGTTCCAAACAACATATAGCTCGCCAGGTTCATCGGTGTTGAACACCCTAATAGCTCAGCATTACTCAACCATCACCACCATAAATTATTGTTGATTCAGCGTTAATTTTCATTGAACGTTCGCTCGTCTTGCTGCCAGCCACATCACCCCCAAAGCTCATTGATAATGTACCCAGCAATCAAACGTTTGTGGTCAAATTGTATTGTACAGTATTGAAGTGGTACATACAAATTCTCGCAATGACCGTTGACCACAAACACTTCGAATTAAGGTAGGTTTTCTCCTAGACGCTAGAAAAAGGAAAAAAAATCTAGAATTTATATGATTGATTGCAAATATCTTGCGATTGGAAAATTTTAGCTAGAAATTGATTTTTTGATTTTTTTTTATATTATCTATTGAATAAACCAAAAATTTCGCGCGTTTTTTTGCATGAAAATGCGTAATTTTGTCATAAGAAAACGAGGTGTTTCCGTAATGGGAAAAAGTGCTTTCCCTAACACAGTCGCCGAATATTGATACCGAGCACGTAATCCTACGTCAAATCTACGGTCGTGTCTTGGATACAACCTGTTACTTTTTTTCAGGCTTCCTCCAGAAGTGTCTTCCAATCATCCCCAGAAGTTTTTTTTTCTAATTCCTGCACAAGCTCTTTCCTTTTTTCCCCGGAAGGGACCTTCCTATTTTCTCCGGAAAGTTTTTTCAACTTCTCTAGTTTCTTCCGCAATTGACTATTAGCTTCCTCTGGAAGTTTCGTCCGATTTTTCTCGAATGTTTTTCATTTTCCTCGTGGTTGATTTTTCATAAACAAACACAAGTCCTTTTGGCTTTCCCTGAATGCGTTTTTTTTAGTTCCAGGACTTGTTACGAAGATGAAACCGAGTTTTTTTTATACAATATTAAAAAATTAAAGTTCCCTGGGCTTTGGCAAAACATTGAGGTAGTTTAATTAGGCTACCAGGTACCAGGGCTGATCTGGATCTTTACCACATTGGAAAGATGCACACTAGTGTTGCCAGATCAGTGTTGATGCTTACCAAAAGTGCATTTGAACAGATTAATCATCACCGTGCATTGTTTATTGCTCTGCACTAATAATAAATGATTAAGCACAGCATTTGATATTTTAGTAGGACTGCTGGATTTAGTCGCAGTGGAAATCAATCCTTTATTGAATTGGATTTATTTCTATGGATATGCACGTTTGGAAAGTATCATCACAAAGATTCTGCACTCGGTCTACAGCTTGTGGGCGGGAAGCGTTGTGTTTGTTTTCGTTTTTTTTATCTATTTATAGAGTCAATTCTTAGAAATACAAATCTTCAAGAAAACTAACAACACGGAGTCTGGAAACGGCAATGTTTCATTCAAAACGTCAAGTATTTTAAGAATATCGGGTGAGACCAATCTAATTGTATTTAATCTTATTTTTGTGTAGTAGGATATTCCATGGAAACGCTCCGGGTTATTATGAAGCCCTCCCCATTGGCTAGTTTTTAACCTGGACGTTTGTGGGCGGACCTAATATTATGCTTCATAGTGGAGCGTTGGAGACGGTTGGTTTAGGTCCGGCATCGTTGTCTCATGCCGTGGCAGAATGGCGTCATGAGCATGCGCTGAGGATTACTGAGCGTCCCCTCTCTGATGAACCATTGCATGAGCGAACCAAAGTTCTAGACTAACATTTGGAAAAGGCGCAACTCCAAAATGACCATATCGAGAAAATCGCTTCCGAATTTTGATGACCTAAAAATTAATCCTATTTCACGACTTTCCATTTTCTGGATGATTTTATAAGCTTTACATATAGTTAATAGTGTAATTTATCATCATGCATCACTTAAAACTCAAAAAAAAGTTTTCTTTGTCGTCAAATTGAGAGTAAAACATCATACGCCCTGATAATTTCTTACATGTTGTTACCCCCCGGATCTTCCATCCTTTGAACTGCCAACACTGGTGATACGCCGTAGAAATATACCCTCGGGATTTTTTGTTTGTTGTTCCGCCTTCGTTCTTCGTTCGCAAATTTTGTGAGAGTGGAATTACGCCCGGAGATTTTTGGTTTTCAGCGTTCACTCGGCTGTCGACAAAAGCAGGCCACTCTCAATGTGTGCTACGCGATCGTCTGTTTTCTCGGCAGCAACCATTGTGTGGTCCTCCTCATTGTTCTTCATCAGCAGTTCTTTCGGTCAATGCGTCGTCGACTTTGGAAAGCAACCGTTTCGTGATGAGTGTGTGAGTGCTGACCACGTTTTGCGTCCATTGCTGCAATCCCGTACGACAATTTGCCATACAATGAAACTACTGGAAGCGGCTCCAGTTCTGATGGAGGAGGCTTTTTGGATAGCGGAAGATAAAGTGTTTATTGTGTTGTACCTTTTGACTATAGTTTTAAAATGTATTGTATAGTGACCAAAAATCCTCGGCTCTGTAAAGTTAATTCGGTTGAGCCTTATCAAATAAATTAATAAAAATTTAATTTTTGGTTTTCGTTGTTTACACGTGAAATATCAATCGGATGGATTTCAAATGAATCAGGCGTGACTAGATACTACAGAATCAGTACGTTTGGCATATTAAAACAATATAATTCGTAGCTCTGGTGCAAGGCGTACCAACCAGATGCATCATAGAGTTGAAAGTTGGAAATACGCCATGTAAGAAGAAACGTTTTTGATGATTTGAAGTGATATTTTCTTCTACTTTTTCGTTCAAATGTTAGTCTAGAGTTCTAGCCTGAAGTGATAGTATCACACTTGTTACTCCTTTATTTGAAAGCCGCGTTGTAGTACGCTTACGTATAGGGACTGACGTTGGGTGCGATACTGGCTGGTTTTTTCCGCAAATCACTCTTATTTTATTAATTTTTACACAGATAGATTTATTAGGCTAATGAGATATCAAGAGCAAATTTTCATTACGTCGAATGTAACAAAGGTAAACAAAGTCGAGCTATCAGTGTCAATCGATGCTCCTGCTATTACACTATATACTGTCCGAATATAGGATCACATCCCATTTTTAAATTTATTTACCAGTCGAATTGCTTTTTGACGTAATCACCTTCCGATCAAAATAGTTTTCGATGTTACTTAAGTCACCCAATTTCTATGGAGATGCCGTTTGACTTAAGTAACAGCGCTGAGAAACCCGTGAAAAGTGTACGTTCGTCGTTTCGCTTTCCCATTATTAAAGTGAATAAATCGAACTGTTTGTTGCTAAGATGATTTCGGTGGTCCTAAAATGATGAATGGGCTGCACGTAAGGAGGCGTAATTGATAATTCTCCCGAATATTCTGGTAAATACACTTTGACTTAAGTAACAATAGGGGCCACCAAACGACGTATAATAACTTTTGACTCAAAAACCAGTATTTTTTAGCATGAAAGCTAGCGATTTGCATTTGTATGATTAAAACCCTGCTAAATATGTTAAACATTGCTATCACTATGAGATTATATGTGTTTACTTGGAAATAGGAATAACTTTTCGGTCATCAAAACAAAACTTTATTTTTCTCGGATTGGTGCGAATGTTACTTACGACATAATGAAAATTTGCTCTTGATATCATAATCATCAAACGAACTTAAATGAGAAAATTTAGACAGCCTAATAACATTTAGTAGATTAACAAAAAAGTTTGGATGCGGGGGGTCCACTTAGGGAGGCAACTAGCCTTTAAAGCAATCTTATCTTTCTTTATTAAAGAGACTTTCAGCCATTGGCTGGTTCATCTCTGGCCTTTAAAGCAACTGGCAACTAGCCTTTTCATATATTGTCTGTTTATTTTGATAGTTGCTTTAAAATATCAATTTAATATATATGTGAAAGGCAGAATGGGTGGGACATTTTGCAGCACACATCTAGTACTATGTGTCATTTCCTCAAAACCCCCCAATAACCGACCTGTCCAATCCCTTCCCATGGCGTTCAAGTGGTCCGCATAGACTATTCAGCCATTACCCTTTCTTTATCCTCGGCTTTGGATTGACTTGCGCTCCCATTGCCCCACCAAACGCTGCAAAATGAAAATGAAATATTAAAACATTAAAGTTTTGATAATTCGACTCCAAATTCAAGTACAGAGAACTCAGGAGACCAGTCTACAGTTTATCAAAATATTTCTTCAAAATTCACCGGATACAACCATAAACTCTCATCGCGCCCCATTATTTGGAAGAAATTCTTCAAAACATGCCGATGTACCGCTTGAGTAAGTGCAGGCTCAGCTGCTAGCTACCAAGCTATCTATTCTATTTCGATGATTTAAGGCGGTTTTAGAGGTAATTTTGGCACAATATCTGATAGTTCACGTCACCAATGGGAATTCGCATTGAAAACGCTGACGGACGTTAACGGCATTACCAACCTTGGTATTGAGTTTGAGGAATTTCTCATAGTAGGTCACAATCGACGAAGGTTTGAATACCAGTGCTTAAGGCATCAATAGGAAACTCGACAAAATCTTGAGCAGGTCAACTTTTGAACAATAAATTAAATTTCTGATATATTGCAGCATACGAAACTGAAAACTTTAACCGATGGTCACTCTAAATCAGCAATTCTTTCGTGCAATTCGTCTGCTCCAGAATATTGAGAATCACAACAGCGAGAAACATTCTTATCGTCGAATTTCAATCGGACATGTCCATCTATGTACCTATTTACTGGCTCTTCCAAAGTGAATTGTATCTCACAGTTGCCGTCGTCGTCGTCGTCGTTCCGGTAGAAATCAATAAAACAACACCCTGACTCAGTTGCGCATCCAAGTACTGTTTCAACACGCAACGCGCAATGATCAAATCACTTGTTCTTTTAGTCATTCTCGTGACCTTGACCCTTCGCCGGGTTCATGGCGCACCGACGGGTGATACCGGGTGGCACGCGATGGAAATGTCCAGATTTTGGGTCAGACTTCCAAATTTGGACTACCGGAAGAGCCAAGTGGGAGCAAGTGAAGCGAGTATTGGTGGTTCAAAGATTGCCGGTGGCATGATAGCGAAGATGCAGCAATTTCCGTACCAAGCGGCAATCTTAGTGAACTTTCCAGATGGATCGGGGATTCTCTGCGGAGGAGCGATTCTTTCGACGACCTTTGTTCTGACGGCTGCACATTGTTTGCAAGGAGCGATCGACGCCACAGTTATTCTCGGAACGAATGTGATCAGTATTCCAAGTGACGATCAAGCTGTGGAGATCGACGTGAGCTTGCACGAAATGCTCCTGCATCCACAGTACGATCCGGTTGATGTGCTGAACGATATCGCCATCGTGCGGTTGATCAAGGCGCTTGTATTTTCCAGTGAGTTGTCCTCATTCAATGGAATGTGACCGGTAGTGATATCGTTTGTGTTTTTCCCCGTTGTTCTAGATAAGATTCAATCAATTCGACTACCAAGTAAGAATGAAGCTCAACTAGATTTGGTGAACACCGATGCTACCGTTTCCGGGTGGGGAGCGCTGAGTGAAGAAGAGTTTGCCGAAATCAGTGACACCATTATGCTAGAGTTGCGATACGTCGATAATCCAGTGATTTCCAACGAGGTTTGTAAAAAAGTGTTCCAAGATATGATTCGTGACTTCCACGTGTGTGTTTCCGGTGATAAGGGACGAAATGCCTGCCAAGGAGATTCAGGTGGTCCTTTGACAGCTCATCTGAATGGCAAGATCACACTGGTAAGGATGATCAGCGGTGTTACGGTTTCCATGTTCTTCTTTAATGTGTGACTCATTACAGATAGGAATTGTCTCGTACGGTTCAACCGATGGTTGCGAAAAAGGTTCACCTGCTGTCTATACACGAGTTGGTTCTTATCTAGACTGGATAACGCAGCACACCAATATTCCGGTGGAAAATTAAATGATGAATCTTCATTAAGATAACAAGTGTGTCATCAATAGGGTTTGTTGTCTAATAAATTGATACTTTTTATCCATGACTATATGAGTATGTTGAAAATAATTTCTACCGACCCTATTTCCGTTATGTATTCTTTATCTGTATCTTCTCGCAATTCCCAAAACAATCACCAGGCTAATCACTTTTGCAGTTGGGTAATTATCTACTGAATTGTATAAATACACCTCAAAAGCAAGATTGGCCCTTAGTTCTATTCATCAAAATCCGATTGCACGGTAGCCTTATCGGTTCTGAAAGTGGCTTGACAATGCGCAAATTATTAGTGCCTCTAACTGCACTGCTGGCTGTGGCCAGCTTCAGTGCTGCCTACAGTGTTCCTAGTGCCCATATTATTCGTCTACCCATAGCAAAAGAGTTGCCTGAATTTACTTCTGCCAACAATGAAGCACGTGAACGGATTACCGGAGGAGAGTACGTGGATCCAACCGACATTCCGCATGCTGCCGGTATCATAATAGCAGGTCCAGTTGGAAATAGATTTTGCGGTGGATCGCTTGTTTCCCTGAATTATGTCCTCACGGTGGCCAGCTGTCTCGTAATGTAAGTGTGTGATCAAAATATTACAGAATTTGTTGCAGTAAACTTGTCTTTTTTAGTGGTCCATTCCCGACCACGGTTCTGCTAGGAGCATCGGATATGAATAACATTGATGGTTTGATTGCTGCCACTGAAATGATCATTCACGCCGAGTTTGATCTTCAATCAGGACAGAATGACATTGCCTTGCTACAGCTAGAGCGAGCAGCTGTTGTTGGAGGTTTGATAGTTAAAATTTTTGATAACAAAATTTTCCCAACTCACAATTTGGCACTGATTTACAGACACCATCCGACCGGTCCGACTACCAAACTGGCGCCAGGTCCAGTCGCCCTTTTTGAACCAGCTGGCAACGGTGTCTGGATGGGGAGCATTGTTCCAAAATGCACCTGAAATCCTCCCTCTGTACGAACTCCGTCAGGTACACCTGCCGGTCATGTCCAATCTGAACTGTGCTCTCCGATTCCCGGGATCGATTACCGAGAATCAGATCTGCGGAGCGACCGACATGGGCTCACCGTGCCAAGGAGACCAGGGTGGTTCGCTGACGGTGGCAGATCCCGATGGCAGGTCCACTCAGATCGGAATCTTCGCCTACGTTTCGATTCTGGGATGCAACTCGGGATGGCCGGCGGTATTCACCAGGATTACGCCGTATCTGTCCTGGATTGAGTCCAACTCGGATGTTATGATTCTGGATGATTTTGAGTACTGAAGTACTGAGCGCTTGTTGGTTTGGCGATATTGCAGAGTTTGAACTAGAGGTGAGAATTCAAATACAACGTTGAATTTTAAAGGTAATGAATAAACGTTGTGCTAAACTAATTTCAGTTTTTTTTTATTTTGAGATATTACTTCCCATCGACAATGAAAAGCGATAAAACACAGATGTTATTATTATTATGCACGCTTAGATTTTTTTTTTGCCACAATGGGGACTAGACTGCCAATGAATGTATGGGAAAAATTTGACCATCAAATTTCGCTAACAAACCATATACAAAATGTTTATTGCCTCGAAAAATGACCCTATGCCAAATTTGAGCTCAATCGGATATGATTTAGGGGTGGCGCAAACGCGTCAAAGTTTGACTTTTTTCACTCTCGAAAATCTCCCAAAGGGGGGGGGGGGGTACATGAAATTTCGGAAATCAATTTTTTTTTGATGCCAAATGTCTTAAAAATGCATGAAACGTCGAGATTTGGGGCCTCCCTTAGCTTAGTCGGTAAAGGCGCAGCTACAAACCACGACCATGCTGGAGGTGGCTGGGTTCAATTCCCGGTCCGGTCTAGGAATTTTTCGGGTTTTAAAATTTCTCGACTTCCCTGGACATAGAAGTATGATTGGACTTGCCACACAATCATATCAATGCAAAAATGGTACAGGCATCGAAAGCTCTCATTAATTACTGTGGAAGTGCATCTAGAACACTAAGTTGAGAGCACGCAATAAGCTAATATGCGATATGCAATAAGCTTGAAATGCGAAGAAGAAGAAGAAGAAGAAGAATAAGAAGAAGACGTCGAGACTTGGTGTTATCTCGGAATTTTTTTTTTCTTCAAAAATCGACTTTCTGGGACTTAGAATTTTTTCATGACTTCTATATGGAATACAGAAGATTGACGAGTTTGCTTCTAAAACTGTTCACAACTGTCTCCAACCTGCTTATATATCGAATTAAACCACCATTTAGGATCTAATACGAAATAATTCACTAGGGTGGTCCAATTATACTTCATTAGGGTGGTTCAAAAATTCAAAAATATATGAAAAACCACAACTTTTCATCAGAAATTCCTAAAATCAATTGTAAAAATATCTTGAATTGCGTTAATCTGTTTTTTTTTGGGAATCATGAGTTTTACACAAGAGGAACATTTGCCTGAAAAGATGAAAAAATACTTGTTTTATACTTTACCATATATTTCCTTATTAGCTACACCAAATCAGATTTCCTGGTCCTGATCTTCAACTAATTGTAAAATACACTGCTTTTGATCTTCATCCATTAATAGTTTTGAATTGTATGTTTTAATCAATGCTACATATACCACGCTCTGCATTATCATTAACTACTTCCAAACATTGAACCCGTCTTTTGGCATTTTTAAACTCGATGGAACTACTCCACTGCTCCATATCGACATTCAGCAACGACTTCGGAATTTGGAGAGGTTTTGAATAAGTTTTCAATACCACTGCTGCCTTGTACAAACGAGTGTAGTTCAATCGTTGAAATATCGTTGGATTCAACAATGGGTCTGGCTGTAATGTTTTTATGAGTATCTGTAAAAAAAAATCATTAGAAAATTAAATGCAAATGTATCAATTAAAGCATTTACCTGATAGAAGTAAGGCTTCGATGACCGTAGACCTGGAGGTCTACATTTTCGTCGAACAGACATAGTCCGACAAGGCTGTTGTCCAAATATTGCAAGTGAGTTAACATTCCTTTATGTACTGCTTTCGCAACGTCTTCATCAACAGTTTCATATTCCTTCAATATTTTTAACAGGTTCAGATCGTTGTTGGGTGCCATCGCAGCACACGGAGAAAGAAACCAACTTTTCAAATAAATTTTTACAATGAACACACAAAATCGAGCTAGTTGATTTTTAGTTTTATCTGGTAAAGCAAATTCATGCCGAAGAATAAACATTTTCAAAGAATAAATGATTTTGGCCATCCACCTTGCATTGTGGAATGCACCAGGAGCTCTTATTTGTAATTTTTCATCGATTTTTCCACCCAAATATAAAATGGCAAGTTGTAGAACCTCTCGGTAATCACCACGGTGGTGTTGCTCTCTAATTTGTTTTTCATAAAACTCCAATAACGCCAATCTTTCTATTTCCGAAATAGCTATTTAAAAAAAAATCATCATCCATACCTGAGTGGTATGAAGTCTTTTCCAAAATGTGCCATTTTAATTGGAATTCCTTAAAAATCTCAACATTTGGAGACTTTGACCTTTAAAATTTCAGAATTTTGAAAGCTTTGCCAAGTAGCAGTTCATGTATGTGGTGTCTACAAGGGAGGCCTGACACGCACCTTTTTTTTTCTACCGGTGTTTGATGCAGTAGTATCAAAAGATGTAAACATAATTCTGAAAACAAACGATAAAATAGTCAGAATTCTGAGGTGAACATACAAGATCATACCTGTCCGCAAGCCCCCATTCGACGACTGCATTGTACACCGCTTCTGCTTGTTGTGCCCCCGTAGAGTTTTCGATGGGTGGAACAGCCAATAATTTGCTAATGCCTTCGCCTGATAAAACTATGGCCAAGCGCTCGGTTTTTGGTAGAGCTTTGGATGGTAATATGTTAGGTAGCAGCTTAGAATCCCAATGTACTGTTAAATTTGTATCTGGCTTAAACGACGCTTTTAAATCATGTTGCGTTTGTAAGCGAATTCCTGCTCTGGCGATTCTGACAGATTCCTTGTTCAACAATAATGATGAAACATCGTGCCCTAAAGCTTTAGCGATCGATGATAATAGAAACACAGCATTTCGATCACTCACTTTACAGCGGTCCAATGCAGCAGCTACCTCAACTGTAACAACTCGTATCAGTTGCGATTTACGTGTCAAAGCTGGTTTTGGAGAACCTAGAACGTTCAAAATATATTATTCTAAAAGAAAAAAAAAAAAAAACATTAGTAAAACATCACAGCGTACCTGTTTTTGGAGAAGCTCTTTCGGATGTACTAGGCGAGTACACTGACCCAGCCTGGCTGTCGTTTTGTGATGATGTTTCAATTGAGGTTGCACTACAAATTTGATCCGGTCTTTGGCTTGACCCTTCTTCGTCAACATCGCTACACGAAATGGTTTCATTGGTAGGGAGTTGTTGTTATTCACATCGTCGTGATTGTGCGCTGCTAAATTTGTCGATTTTTTAACACACGGGCTATCGTTATTCGTTTTTTTTCCGTTCGGTATACCTGTAATATTGTACTGGTTGTTAGTGGAAAGTGCAGTTCGTTGCGATAATCGTGTAATTAGAGCATATTTTGTGTTGTGAAAACAGTGAAAAAGTTATCCAATCAGTCATATTGTAGTGTCTAGCATTGGGTGATCTTGAGAATCCAATTCCTCTTTGCGTATTAGAGCATCTCCACAGCTGTTTCTAAATCACTTTTGGAAACTGAGTCAGCATGACTTCCAGTTAAAGTTAAAGGCGATGAAGAATCCGTCTCCTGCATGGCTTTTTTGCGACAGAATGATTCACCTAAAGTGCGGGTGCAGTTTCGAACGCCTTTGGATACGGTTGTGTTTTAAGTTTGTTCTCTGTTTTGTGCGTGCGTTCGCTCTCATAGTTTTCAGCTGCAATTTCCGGATTATCGCTGGCGCTCTGCCTCCCGGACGTTTATACGTGTTTGATTGGTAGTTTTCTCGCTTTCCGGGAAGTTTTAGAATAGAGAAAGAAAACGTGATTCAACATGTTTGCAAGCATCAGAAGAGATGTCGCGATCTGCGTTGTTTGATTTTCTCCCGGACCAGAAATTAGTGGCATCGCGAGTGATAATTTTTAATTTCAGTTTATTTACGCGCTGCAAGGTGCGTGAAAGAGCTCGGCACAATCGGTGTTGATTTTGGCTCGCTTGTAACTTTTTTTTGTTGTGTTTTCGAAAGAAATTGATCGAAATTGTACCAAAAGTGCTTCTGAACGTGTTTCGCAGTTGGGTGTGGTGAAATTCGTGAATTCGCGGTTTATGTTCAGTGAAAATTCCGTATCACAAAATTGCTCACCGAGTGTCCTTTTTTTGCCGTTCGACGACGACGGGTTTGCGAGAGAAAAATAAGCATCGGGAATTTGCTCCCGGATGTATTGATTTGGTGAGTACGTTCCAGTTGAAGATTGTTCTTATACATATCTCGATTGCATTTGCGGGCAGATGAGTTGGTCGCCGGTAAGGGCCAGTAAGTGCTGCCAGCAGATGAATCAAGAGGTATTCGAAACAAAATTGATAAGAAATGTCCAGTCAAATCGATTTAATACAGTTGAACAAATTTCAAAACTATATACGTGCCAGATTTGGAAATAATATTTTTTGAATCTGGAAGTGTGTTTATGATACCATTATCCATTTGATAAAGGTAGAGTGAACATGCGGGGCTTATTGTAAGTAAAAGTGACCTCGGAGTGGTCGTGAATTACCAGGCATTCTGAAATGGGTCACTGGAGCTGCAATAGAGCTAACACCTTCTAACTCCCGGACTAAACCTGCTTTAATTTAAGGGTAATAAAAAGCAGTTTTCTTCCATAATAACACTTTCGGACAGTGGGGGTTAGATTGTGCACACACACACACACACGAAATGGTTTCATTGGTAGGGAGAACCTCAGTTTCTTCTTCAAGATGAGCTTGTTCCCGCTGTTTTTGCAAATATTGCATCGCCTGCTTTTCTTCACGGGTTTTTGCCTTAAAATTCTTCCCGATATCAAACGAACTCCGCAATGATCCATGAAATGTGTTACTTTTTTCGACGTCTTTCTTAGCGATTCTAAGTTTGCATTTTAATAAGGCTTTCCAGGTACAGGTCGGACTCGATTATCCGGAGTATCGATTTTTTTTTTTCACTCCGAATAATCAAATCCTCCAGAGAATCGAATCACAAAAAAAATCAAATCTGCAATTAAAGAACGTAATGTATTTTTTTTTTGTTATTTTATTTGGCGTAGCCAGAAATTATTTCTAGGGAAGCA